AAATGAGAGGATCTTGTAATAAATAAATAAATAAATTCTATGGCATCCACTGAAATGCTATTAAAACTAGTAAAAGAATTCAGCAAGGTTGCAGGATATAAGAGTAATACACAAAAATCAAACCAGAAAGAAATGCAGAAAATTTCTTTTATGATGGCATCAAACAGAACAGAAGACTTCTGGATACCACAAGAACAGGGTCTGAATCCTTGTCAGTGCAGCTTCATGCCAGGCTCGTGCGACAACCCTGACAATCCAGGAGGAGAAAGAGTCGCAGCCTCCGCCCTTACCGCAGGGCTCTCTCGCACACGCTCTTGCTCTCTGGTATAGCTGTGTGCTCGATGTCATGAATAAAAATCGGTAAAACTACAACGTAGGACGGTACACTGCTGGGCGAATGTACACTGGCATGGCCACTGGAAAGCCACCGGCCGCTCCCTGCAGTCACACACGGAGTTACCACGTGACCGGCAGATCCTGTCCCAGCTCTGTATCTGAGAACTGGACATGTGAGTCCACACGAGAACCTGTGCGTGAGTGTTTACTGCATCAGTGTTCCTTTTTTTAGGTTTTTGTTATAGGGTGTGTGAATTCACCAGAGAGACAGAGAGAGGAAAACGAGAAATCTCCCGCAGGGGAGGATGACACCACTATTCCTTCTCCTCCATTCTCCTGGGGTTTGGGCATGCAGCCGACATGAGTTTCAAACTGTCAGGTCTGGGACTCTAACCGCAGTCAGCCATGTGGTGCACCCCAACCACCACGCCGTCTGCTGGCCCCACATCAGTGTTCTTAGTAGCTAAAAAGAGAAATAACCTAAACACCTATGGCGACCCATGAAGAGACAAATAAAATGTGGCCTCTCCAAACCATGGAGCATTGTTCGGCTAAGGAAGGAACACAGCGGTGACAGCCAGCGACGTGGATGGACCCTGAACAGCATGGCGAGTGAAAGAAGTCTGCCACAGAAGTAGGCTGCGCGACTCCCAGAACGGGGAGCTCTGTGAACGCGGGTGTTTGCAGACTAGTAGCTGCTCAGAGGTGGGAGGGAGGAGGGGCTGGGTGAGGCGAGTGGGGCTTCCTCTCAGGGTAATGAACATGCTTTAAAATTGATTGTGGTGATGGGCGTCCACATCTTTGGGAAGACACTAGAATCCATTGAACTTTAACTGGGAAAACTCTATGTTATGTGAATTGTATCTCAAGAAAGCTGTTTTTAAAAATGACACAAATAGGACCAGCAGGTGGCATGGTAATTGAGGCACTGGACTCTCATGTGACCAACCACGGTTCTAGTCCTGGACCTGGAGACTTGCTTTCTCACTTTTCCTCTCTGTCTCTCTCTGCCCTATAGCAAACTTAATAAAAATGACACAAGCAGAGCATGAGAGGAGCTCCTCCAGCCTCCCAAGGAAGCTGGGTGGGAAAGGTCCCACCTTGCATGGCAGCACATGTCTTCATAGGAGAGGTCTGTCCAGGCAGGTGCATGACAGGTAAGTGGGTTTCTCTGTAACCTGTGCCCGTCCCTCCCACCACACTGGTCAGGGACCCTCTACCCACCCCAGCCACACGGATGCACGGCTGGTCATTGACAGAGCCATGGTTACAACCCCTGGCCATGGCTCTTAGACCCCGCAGCCATGGCTGACGCTGCCAGCCCGGGGAGCTCGCGGTGCGCCCAGGGCCCTTACCCATAGCCATCGGTGCAGAGGCAGGAGTAGCTGTCCACCTCGTCCACACACTGGGCACCATTCTGACAGCGGTGGTCCCTGCAGTCGTCCTGGCTCTCACTGCAGTTGTCTCCCGTGAAGCCCGGTGTACACTCACACCTGGAAGAGGTGGGGGGCTGGTCAGCTGCACACGCAGCCCAGAGCATGGGGCCAGAGCCACACAGCCTATGTGTGTGACAGTGACCTCAAGTTCCAGAGGTCCGTGGGGGCCCCAGGAGGTCAAACGCCCTGGACATACAGAGCAGGAAGAAAGTCGTGTGGGCTTGGGAGCAGGGCTGGGAGAAGGAGCTGGACCCTGTCACAGAGGAGCGGCCCCTGTGCGCCACGGCACATCCAAGGCCAGCCTTCGGCCACCCCAGCCTGCTGCCCAGCTGCTCCCACCCTGCCTCCCAGGCCCCAGCATGAGCCGAGTCCCACAGGCTCACCTGGCCCTCCTCCCTCAGCCTCCTGGCCCAGCGTGGCCATCCCGCCCTCGGTAGGGCCCTTGTCCCCAGGCCAGCTCCAGCCCAGACCTCACTGCTTCAGGAGAACCCTTTATGGCTGACCACTAGCCAATCAGAGGGCATACCGCTCCGCCCGCTTCAGTCCTGGCCCTGCAGACACACCGTGCCCTGCAGGCCTCCTGCCCCCCAAATCCAGGCACTCTGCTGTCTTCACACCTATGGGTTTTGGGATGGCATGGTCTAGTCAGGTCCATATTTCACCTCCTCCAGGAAGCCTCCTGTGGACACTCCAGTCCTCACTCTTCAGACAAGAGCTATCCCTCGTCTGAACCCCTTCCAAACTCCTAGCTCTAAACTCCATAGCTCGGCCACACAACTAGGAGATAGGCGTGCCTGGCCGGGTGGTTCACTCACTCCCTACCCGGGTGGTTCACTCACTCCCTACCCGGGTTGTTCACTCACTCCCTACCCACTGGGTTTTTCAGCTTAGTGCACACACACTAGAGGCTAGTTTCAGACAATAATACTCACCCTTACTACATACAGCGGCATGTTCTCTCTGAGAATTCCTATTTTTTATTAGAGGTTTTTGCCTTAGGGTGTGTGCACTTGCCAAAGACAGAGAGACAGAGACAGTAAGAGAGAAACCTGCGGGGGGCGGGGGGTGATGGCCATGCCACAATTCCTTCTCCTCTATTCTCTTCCTGGGATCTTGGGCATACACACACACACACATGCCTGGTGTGCTTCTCAGGCCACCAGGTCCAGGACTCGAACTGCAGTTGTCTGTGGGAGTCCAGTGACTCCAGTAACTGCTAAGCCATCTGCTAGTCCCGTAATTTCTATTTTCTTTATTGCCAGAGGGCACATGCACCTGCCAGAGACAGACAGACAGAGGCAGAGCGCAAGGGAGAAAGCGCCCCCCGTGGGGCGTGCTCATGCCGCAGTCCCTTCTCCTCCACTTCGCCCTAGTTTGGGGCATGGCGTGTGCACAGTGTGTCTGTCAAGCTGCTGAGGCTGGGACTTGAACTGTGGTCAGTGGAGCCTGGCTCCCTTAACCACTGCTCTGTGGGGCTGACCCACCGGCTGGCCCCCTCCACTGCTGGGTCTTGAACTGCAGTCTGGAGAACGCAGCAGTGGCGATGCCGTCACCCACTGTTCATCCCCTCACTCCCACATGGCCGACGCCTGCACGTTGGCCGGCACGTTAAAGTCCCAGGTGCAATGTCCCACGGCCGCGTGTCAGGCCACCCTTCCACCAGGGCAGGAGCTGAGAGGACACACACTCCCCCCTCACCGTGCCATGACCCTGGGCCCAGGGCCGAACACAGCTTCTTTCCCGTGGTGTGGACAATGGCAGCAGTTCCAAACCCGACCACGTGCAGTCCTCAGAGCCCACCTCCGAGGCCCAGCCTCTCCAAAGAGGGCACCGCCTGCCTGTTTCTCGGGGTGCCTGCCACGCCCCACCCGGCCACCCTCCCAGGAGGCAGCTCTGGCCAGGTGGAGGCTCCCGTGTAGCCATCAACACACATGGCCCGGGCGGTACCTCCAAAACTGTAGGTTCCTTGGGGAACTCCACCTCCGACTGTGGCCCGAGGCCCTGGGCTTGGTCCCTGTCACAGACCCCAAGAAGCCCAGCCCTGACTGGTGGGACAGGCGGCCCAGCAGCGAGGCCATGTGGAAGCATTGTTTTGGAACGTGTGGCCTTTACAGCCATCTCCGTGTGGCCACACTTCCACACGTGCTGGGAGCAACCAGGCTAATAACTAGATCGACTTGAGCCAAACCCCTGGGCCACAGAGGTTCTGGAACTCAGAAGTGCCTGGGCTTGGGCACAGGTGTACCTCGCACGGAACTGTACACGTTGCAGACTGCCCGAGGCAGCCTCGTCCTCAGCCGTGCTCATGTTCTGTGACATGAATGACGCATGTTCCCCGGGGAGTGACTGTGAGCCTGTCATCGGTGTCGGCCAGCCCTCATCACCAAACGCGTTCCAGGCTAGTCTGCCTTTGCCATCAGACGGGCTTTTGTTTCTCAGAGTTCTTGTGGGTTTTATACTTAGGGATGGAAAATTGTGGCTCTGGAATGATCATAGCTATTTACAGAGCAGTCTTCAGATGGGGAGCACGCCTCAGATGGGGAGCACACCTCAGATGGGGAGCACGCCTCAGATGGGGAGCACGCCTCAGATGGGGAGCACGCCTCAGATGGGGAGCACGCCTCAGATGGGGAGCACCCATCAGATGGGGAGCACCCCTCATATGGGGAGCACCTCTCGGATGGAGAGCACGCCTCAGGCGGGGAGCTAATCTTTCCACGTCAGATCCTGCAACCACCCCAGAAGGAAGCGACCCCTGTGCCCAGTTTCAGATGAGCAGAGGCTCGACGGTGGTGTGACCCACTCGGAGTCAGCTGCACCCTCAGTCTGGCCACGAGCTATGCCGAGGCCACCCATGCACTGCCCCCCAGGTGCACCATGCAGCTGAGGCCAAACCCAGGAGGGCCGGGGCCCAGACTGCAGTCCAATCTGACCTGACGGCCGTGCCCTCCCCTAGCCCTGGACGTGGGCAGCGCTGACCTGGGCCCATCTGGCGTGCCCACGCAGCGGGCGTCGTGCTGACACGGGTTCAGATCCGGAGAGCAGAAGTCCACCAGCTGCTCGCAGGCCCTCCCTGGGAAAGAACAAGAGAGGCAGGAGAGAAGCCAGGCCCGGCAGAGCCCCCGCAGACACCTAGGCAGGCCCAGCCCTTCCACCCACGCTCAGGCTCAGGGCTGCGCTGGGACCCCATCGCCATCGCCGGGGTCCTCGAGCTGCCCCGCTTACCTGCGTACTGCAGGGGGCACTGGCAGGTGTAGTTGCCCACGCCGTCCACACAGATGCCACCATTGGCACAGGCGTGTCCCACACAGTCATCCGTGTTCACCTCACAGGTGGGGCCTTCAAAGCCGGGGGCGCAGGAGCACCTGTGGGCAGGGAAGATGGAGTGGCAGTCACCTGGGTGCATGGGAGCCTGCAGCCACCAGTCAGTGCCACCTCCCCAGAGCCACGGCCCCTGCTCTGGTCTAGGCCCCTGCTGGGCGCTGGGAGCGAAGGTGAGCGAGGCCGGTCACCCTCCTGGATGTGCTCCCAGGAGAGTGTCTTCAGGCACGTGGCACACCCAGCAGGCCTCCTGGCTCAGAGGGGAGGTTCAATGCCCCAGTCTCCTCGGCACTGCCACTGCCCGTGCCCTGGCCCATCAAAAGGTCCTCTTGGCATGTGGCAGGAGCAGAAGTGGGCCTGGCCTGGGGGTGGCAGAGCAGGCTACAAGCCCTGCTCACCCCTCAGCTTCTGAGCTGAGGGCCTGGGCAGTCCGCTCTGCGCTCCCCTCACCTGGCAATAAGGGGCAGTGGGTGCCGGAGGGCCCTCCGCTGTGCTTGGGAGCAGGTGCCCACTCCCCAGAGCCCACGCCCACCCTCTCCAGGGCACAGGAGGCCGGGCGCTGGGCCCATCACCTCCACGCACCCGTCGCCTGCCCCTCTGGACAACTCACGTGAAGCTGGCCTCCTCAGCCTCCTGTGCGTGGCAGGTCCCACCATTCCCGCAGGGGCCGCTGGAACAGCTGTCCAGGGACACGTCGCAGTCTCGGCCCTGAGTCACAATCAGCAGTGGGGACCCCAGGGAGGCCAGGGTTAGTGCGAGTGAGCCAGCAGCCCGCCAGCCCGCAGCGTGGCTCCCTGCCCGGGAGTCCCTCGTTCGTTCATTCAGTCGTTCGCTCAAACCCTCCGCGAAGCCAGGCCTGGGCTCCCAGACAGCTCGGCGAGGGGACAGGCGCTGCCCCCCCACCCCGGCGCCCCACGGAGCCTCCCCCTCCTGCCGG